GCTTTGTGACATAAAAAGAATAAATAATATATCTTCATTTACTGAATAACATTTTTACAAAAACACCCATTCCCCTCTAATCAAGGGACAAATTCCAATTGAATTTGGAATGTTCCTACCTTTTTAAAAAATATGGGTGGATTCTTTACCCACCAATATCACTATTACCTTGTCAAAACAAATAAAAGCTTAGTTAGAATTTCAACCAGATATCAACTTCCTATAACATTACTATTTATAAATCTGATGTAAGTGTTAGGTTACAGTCTTGGTTTCCTCATTTTTGGTGGAAACTTGGCAGGTCATTCACTCTCTCTAGGCTCCGGGTTCCTTGGCAGCCGGACCATATTTAGGTGGGTAATATTCTTTTTTAAGAATTAAAAAACTCTTTCTCCTTTTTTCTGACGGTTATTTCCACTTTCTCTCTACAATAATTGGGACAGGACACGTAGGGGAGATAGAGAAATTTAGACAGTACTGACCACAAGATGCCAGCACATCCGCGAACTGGGAAGCCCTAGGGAGATTATGGGCTAGACAGAGGTGGCTGAGATCAGGACTGTAGGAGTGCTCAGCCTGGGACGCAATCCTGACCCTGCCACTTCGTATCTGGGTGACATCATACTGCAGTTTCCCCCTGATAAACAGGATTAAATCTGTGAAGGGCAGGGGATCAGGGCCAGGTGTTGCCTCATTACTATTACTACTATCTATTAATAAATATACTATTACTACTATCTAAATGTTTGGGTTTTTTCTCCATTTCCCAGGATCCTGACACATAAACCACTTACATGCATGACAGCAGTGGGGATTTAGACCCAAATGAAAACTGGACAAGTTGGACAATCACTAAACATGAAAATGCTAGGAAAATGAGTGGGTGCACAAAGATGACCCTCCTTCTGTCTGCATTTTTATATGATTTTGTTGATGGCTGCCTGGGGTGTCTGGCCAAGGTGAGAAGTCAGGGAGTAACGTTGTGATCATTCTTCCAGGTGTACTTGGCTAGAGCTTCATCCACAGTTTTAATCCCCGGGAGCAACAGAAAAGCTGGGCTTGGCCAAAGAGCATATTGAAACCATTCTTGTATAGTGCTAAGGGAATTTTTGTAGCAGCCAGGCCCCAGCCAAAAAAGTAAGGGGCTTTCAGGGGTATGTAATGAGAGCCAGAGGTAAAGATTTGGCCACAGAAAGGAGAAAAACACAAGCCAACAAACAAAAACCTGATCAGACCGTTGGAGAAGTACCAGTGTCAAAAATATAAACCTCTATTGTATAGACATTCATCATAGCATTTCAATTCTATGTTTAAACATTTTTAAGAAAATGTTTAAGAAAATCTATAAGAAAATTTTCTGCCAAAGAATTAAAATTTCTGCCATTGATATTATATACTTTTTTCAATTCCTTGCCTCTCAGTTACAAATATTAGGGCTTATGAGGTCATGGAGCAAAGCTTAGTGATTTAGAAAAGTTGGAACAATACATTCAGGTTTAACTTCCTACCATCCAATGAGTATTCATAATTTTATACAGTGATTCTTCTAAATAGTACCAAAAATATTAATAAAAAACAGGGAAAGTAGGACAATAAATATCAATAGAACAGGGTTTTATGTGAAGTGTATTGGAAATTTTAAAACAGAGTCACTACTGCCACAAAATGAAAAGTTAAATGGAATCAAAACATTTCTAATATAATAAGGAAAGTAACAACCAGAGACTAATTATTAACAGTGATTGAGTTTAGCCTCTTTGAATATAGTTTGGGCTGTATCACATATATCAGGTGCAATTTATATTGCTGGTGTACTTAATAAAAATAAGAAGGAAAGTCATCACCTTCTGATTTTAATTAAGCAGTGCTTTTTCATATAATAAAGAACATATAACCAACAAAGACATGCAAAATCAAAATGGCAGATCAAGACCTCTGAGAAATGGGAAGCAGAGGCAGAAGCTCAGAAGGGACAGTATGGATCAAGAGACTTCAGCAATAATGCAAAACAACCAACCAAATAGGAAGTTACTAAAAATAAACTCCAAGTCCTTCATAGCACCATTGGTTTTATGCGGAAAGATAAACTTAGAAGTTAACATTCCGTAACTGATCCTAGATAGTTCTTTTGTGCTCACACCAACTAATGATTCTCATCAATAAATGCCATGACGAAGTATTAAAAAAAAGAAAAAAATGGAAAACTACCCACATGAATGTACCATCATTCATGAAAGGTGACTTAGCAGAATCACCTTAGAGGCATAAGAACATAAATTAATTATACAATTGCATAACTGACCTTCATGCAGCTACCCAATGAAAGAACAGAAACTATGACAATGATTTTCAAGTTTTTATATCTTTATTATCATTATTTTGGGACTCAGCATTTCAAAAGCTGAACTCGCCAAAAGAAGAAAAAAAAAAAAAGTAGCTGAACTCACCAGAATCATATTTAGAAATTTTTATATCATATTTGAATCATATTTAGATATTTATATTAGGTAGCTGAAAGCTTCCTTGAAAAAAATCTTAATTTCTCTCCCATCCCAATCTAATGCAACTGCAATGAAATGTACTGTTTCTAAAGAATTCATCACCCCCCATGTCAGATCTAATCTTAGCAAAATCAATGTCCTGTCATACTGATTGACATCATACACTTAAGTACATTAGAACAATTTAAAACATACCTGTAAAAAGAGAGAAAGAAAGAGAGAGTGGTTTCTTTAATAAGATAAATGAGATCTGGGATTAAGAATTATAGACCTAAAGATATTAAAAGTTATTGATATGATAATACAAGATGTATCTGGCTCAGTCTTGTTGAGTATCTTTCCTTGTTTTAGAAAAAAATCAACTCCCCATAAAGGTACCTAACATTTAATATTTTTCTTAAAAAGAATATATATTATCTACCATGAATACTGCTCTGGAATTATTTCAACATCACTTTGGAGTATAGCAATATAAAGGCACTAGCATTGTTTTCCAAAGACATAGGTAAAAACCAGCAGCAGCTGATCACTCTCACCTGCTTTCTGTAAGAAACGACAAGATGTCTCAATTTGGCCTCAGTCTGAAGTGATAGACTGTAGTCCCTCAAACACAGAGCCCTTTCAGGGGCTCCTGAATGTCACTGGATTTGTAATCTGTCAATCAAGAGTAACCCCCCAAGCACTCCCTAGTTGCATTTAAGGAAACAACATTCACGGCATCACTGCTAAATAAGAATTTATTTTCATATATGTCCATGTAGAAAGTTATATACAAGGGAGAGGCAGAAAAAGAATGTGAAGATGCTGAAACATAGCTGCAGAAAAGATGAAGTCCCAATCATTTACATGGAAAATGTCACATCATCACGAGTACTAAAAAACACTAGGTGGACCTGTCTTTTATAACCTGGAGAACTGATTTAAAAGAACTGCTTTAAACTATTATAGCAGCAATGAAGTGGAACATTTTACCTACTGCACGGAAAAGAAAAAAAAAAAAGAAAAAGAAAAACTTAGGCAAGTCTTTTCTAAACTGGCTCTGTAAGTACTGACTGAAGAGGGTGAAGGAAATGAATAGCAGCTCTGTTACTCTAGGGCAACTTCGTATGACCAACAGGGCCCAAAGAAGGCTCACTACATTTTGTAAGTCTGGTTTATAAGAAATCATAATCATAATAAAGTACGTTAATTTCTTAGAGCACCAAAGATAACACATCATCTAAAAACATTAACTTTACTGTTATCATTATTGATACTGTTTTTAAAAAACCAGATTGCTTTTGAAGGTTTTTCTGAGGCTCTGATGAGAAAATTCAATACTAAAATCCTAGTAATAATTACTTTCTCTCTTTGGGCTTTCTAATACAAAAATGTTTATTTAACAAATAGAATATACAAATGAAGTTGATTGCTTATAATAAGGACATGAAAAGAGGGCCTACACCTCTTTTAAGAATGCACAACTGCAATGTAAAATGTGCTACATTATAACAATGACAAACTCTAAAATAAAGGAGTTCATATCACTGACACTTAAAACAAGCCTGTCCACTTAAAAGTGATGTTATATTCCAAACAATCTTAAATGACACTTAATTTTTTTAAAGAAAATCCCCATACAAAAACTAAAGACAAGCTATGGTGTGACAAAACCTGAACTAGAATCACTCTAATAATGAAAACTTGAGCTAAATCTTTAGAATAAATTTCACAGGCAAAGCACAAATGCTAAACAGTTCTTTGTTAACTCAAGTTCTTCCAAGATATTACTATAAAAATAACATACTGTCAAGAAAGCTCGTGCTTGTTTCCAAAAATAGACAATGCTATAAACGTTTAAGAGGAAAAGAAAAGCTCCCACTTAAAAAAATGCTTTTCATATAATACCAAGAATCTCACAGAAAAGTGTGCTTATAACAAAGTGAAGTGGAAACGATTTCACCTACCATCAAATTTCTTGTGCCTGGACACAAAAGTGGTGCGCACAAAATGGCTTGTCTCTTCCACAAGGTTTTCAAACTCGAGTTTGCTTTGTTGGCTCAACTTGTCTTCCATTTCTGTGGTGCAGCATGTGTATTCCTGAGGACAGATTCTTAGGTGTTCTCCTGAAATGAGAAGTTAAATGTCAGTACTGAATGCCAAGAAACTTTGGTAGATTTCAGAGATTTCGCTTCTCTAGCATTTCACTCAAATCCCGGGATACTTGTTCCATCTACTCCTCCAGCCATCCCCATGAACTGTGTCTGGGTCTCAGCACAACAGCGTACTTAACATTCCACACAGCTGGTAGCTGTAAGTTCAACCTGATATTTAGTCTCTGTTACCCATCATATAAGTGAAAGTGCATTAAAAAACATCAAAAGATCGTAACATTTTTGCCATTTTTATTTGAAATGTACCAAGTAACACCAGTTGACAAGAGACGTAATACAGTTATAAGTGTGCTTGTCGTTGGAAACCTCAAGTAAGGCAAAAGACATCTAGTCCCATCACCACAGTCTGTTAGGCAGCAAGGGCAAGATAAGATTGCAATAATCACATGTGTTCTCCTTCTGCTAGTTTGTCTCTGAGAATGCATCAGCTTTTCTCTAGGTCAAAGTGAGTGTTTTTAATGGCAGGTCTCATGTGCCATACACTCTGTCAGTTGACATTTCTTGTCAGACAGAAAACATTCTCCTGAAAGGAGGAAGTCACTGACAGGTTTAATTAATGCTTATGTTATATGGAAACATAGAATAAAAGGAATAAAAATCTTGTATTTAATTCAACAGATTTATCTCTTGATATACCAGGACACTTCTTTTGCCAGTTTTGCTTTCTTTAGTGCTATTTTCAAGTAGAAGCCAATCGTTTGCTTCATGAAATTAAAATGGTCTGTTATTGCATAAAATGTGAATTTCCAATTGATGCAGCTCAGTTAGTGTCAAAAATGTTTATCAGAGCCTGTGGAGGGAAGAATGAAAATCCACCCAATGTCTTGCTAAATAAAACCAACAAATTGCCCCTGCAATTAAAGTCACTGTAGGACATCGAAAACCAAATGAACAAAGTACTTGATGCTGTGATTAAATTCATTTACAATGTTTAATAGCACTTATAAAAGTATGCCCTGTGACCTTGTGCAAAATATGGGCTGTCTCAGGATTTCTCATGTAGTTTGATGCTTAAGCTTCTACTTAAAACAACAGCAGAACAAAAAAATGATTACAAGTGTGTATTAAAGTCAGATTATATATAATCCCTAGAACAAAAGGAGATCATAACATTTTATATTTTTTTAAAAGGAAAGGAAATGCATCAATCTTAAGAATGATGAACATTAAATTCAGGTCAATAATTCCCTCCTAGGAGAGAATGGGATTTGAGAGACATGATCAAATACCTTTTTCTATAATCTTTTATTTCTTAAGTTGTTTGATGGATATGTAGTGTTTATTTTATTGTCTTTCCTTTTTCTGTAGGACTAAAATATTTTTTAATAAAAACTTGAGACATATCACTAAAAAGTAATAGTCACTATCGTTTTGCTAAAGGCAGTGGGTAGAAATGAAGAAAGAAAAAACAAGCTGCCCTTGGCATTCAGAAGCCCACCTGGCACTCACATTCTCCTGTTCCACGGAAACAATCTCAGGGAACAACAACAAGATTACTCTGAGACTGTGATAAACTGAGACCAAACAAGGCCACTTCATAAGTTTGTCTAAGTACAGAAAACAAGGTCGCTATGTCATCCAAAAATTATCAAACACCTCCTCTCTTGGCCAACATGATGGACTGGTACTTGTGTACTATTTACAGATTTCTCCTCTCCCATCTTATTGGTAAGATTTATGGAGATATTTTATTACAGAATTGCCTTATTATAGAATTACCCTTGCTTTATGACAGCTTCCAATCCAGGGTGAACCCAGGCTTATTTGTACCCTCCCTCAAATCATCCACCCCAAACCTATATCCTATAATAGATTTTTTCTAAGATCTTTTTACTGAGACATGGTTTTCCATGGTGTATTTTTGATCCTGCAATGAGTGATAACCAAACTTGTTCAACTACAGGTAGGATTTTGATCATCTTTGACTTGAGAGCTTTGACAACACCAAAATGGGGGGCATAAAACAATGTGAATTGTAAAATTCTTCCCAAGGTGATTCTGACACTCATACTTCACTGGGAGGCATGGCTCTAGAGCTCAAGACACTGGAAAGGAATAAGTGTGACTTTTGCAAAAGCAAATGGTCCACAAATCACTAATTTTCTTTTTATAAAATATCAAGCCCAACTGATAAGGACTAAATAAAAATTCCACAAACAAAATCTCTAAGTTTTCTAATGACTTTTATATTGTCATTCATGATTTTCCTCGATAAAAAAATATTATAAAGGTTCTAATCATGTTTTCCTTTTTCACACCCATGGGTATTTAAAAAATAGAATATCCAGTGGTAGAGTTGCATTTTATGTAGAAACAGATGCTAAGAGCAGTGCATAAAGTGAAACTATTTCCTGAAGGAAACATACCAAATTCATCAGCAGCATAATAAGTACTGGGTTTTGTGAATATCGCCCAGATAGTAGGTGACTTTATCAGTTCCTTTAATTCTACTTTGGTTAATGTTTTTCTGTGGCTCTAAGTTAATTCTTGCATTTCTTTCTTAGGATTGTAGTGGAAGCCCTCCCTACTTCACTGCCTGGCTATTTGAATAATGCTTTTCATTTTCAATCACCTTCAGAAAGTTTGCGCAGCAAATATTGGCTGATTCTAGCTTAGTTGTATCCACGGTCTAGGGCACATAACTACCACATGAATCAGTGCCATTGATTTAAATCATTTCCCTATCCTGCCACTTTCTCTCTCCATGCTTGCCTGTCTCTTCTCTGTCTCCTCACCTCTGTAGTTTTCTCCCTGCCAGGGACCCATATAAAGGAGGAGAAATGAGTTGAATTCTTAAGAACACTTCCAGTTCTATGAACAACCTAATAATGCATTAAATTAGTAAGGCAGCCTCTTACATATGCCTCCATGAGCCTACACCTACACACGCACACACACACACCCTACACAAAATAATTTTGGTTTCAAGTTGTCCCACTTTATGTCTCTCATATTTTATGTCACATAAAATACGGATTTTCTTAAAGTGATTAGAGATTATAATGCTTCTCATCAGATCCAATTTCATGAATATGAATCCATCGGCTTTCTTCCACAAATATCCCAAATACAACTATTTCCCTCAGGACATAAAATGTGTATTTTCTTTTGGTTAGTTTTTCACCAAAAGTCCCATGTTTTCTGTTACAAGCTCGATTTGAATGATTCGGAAGCAGAATGCAGCCATGACCTATTATACTAAATCTTGAGATTTCTTTGAAATGTTATTTGTGTGTAATAGAATAGGAAATGGAGCACAGGGAAACAAAAAATACAGTAGAGGGATTTAAACGTTGGTTTATAACAGGTTAGAGAAAGGAACATTGTACAAAGTTGTTAATACTAAATATCCCTTCAATGTGGCTACTGATATGTGATTTTTGACCTCTAATGACTACATAAAAAGACTTCGGACTCTTGTTTTCCAAATAAATAAGCCTAATATAGAAGAATTAGAGATTAGAAGAATTTGGATTTGAAGAATTAGAAGAACTAGAAGAATTTGGATTTGAACCTGCGTCTTGCCCTTCCCAGAAGTTTCTAGCCACTTACTACTTAGAAGGAAAACAAATATCTAGACACCAAGATTACCCTGTCAGCTTAACAGTGAATCAGGTCTACGGCCACTTCAGCTTTGTTCATCTAAACACAGACAGGGGCAGTGGTTCATTACGTTTCCACAGAGGCTGGGTGTTCCTTAAGTTGCAGGTGGCCTCACACCCAAGGAATGCAGACTACCTTTCATTCTGCAGATTATCATCACTTACTCTTCCTTCACTTGATATGAAAGTGCTATTCACTTTTTAAAATTGTCATTGTTTGTTTTTTACTTTATTATTTGAGATTTTTTTAAATAACACATTAATCATACCTCTGCTATTTTATTTTTTTAAATTTTTAAACATTAAGTGTTTTTTAATTTTTTTTTATTTCAGCATATTATGGGGGTACAAATGTTTAGGTTATGTATATTGCCCTTGCTCCACCCAAATCATAGTTTCAAGTGTGTCCATCACCCAGATGGCGTGCACTGCACCCATTAGGTGTGTATATACCCATCCCCTTCTTCCTACTCCCATCTGCCCAACCCCTGATGAATGTTATTACTATATATGCACTTAAGTGTTGATCAGTTAATACCAATTTGATGGTGAGCACATGTGGTACTTGTTCTTCCATTCTTGGGAAACCTAAGGCATGAAACTATAAGAATTCCAGAAGAAAATGTTGGAAAAACTCTTATGGACATTGGCCTAGGCAAAGAATCTATGAAGAAGACCCCAAAGGCAATCACAGCAACAACCAAAATAAATAAACTGGACCTGATCAAATTAAAAAGCTTCTGAACAGCCAAGGAAACTGTCATGAGAGCAAACAGACAACCTACAGAATGGGAGAAAATACTCGCATGTTACACACCCGATAAAGGGCTGATAACTAGAATCTATATAGAACTCAGGAAAATCAGCAAGAAAAAATCAAACAACCCTGTCAAAAAGTGGGCAAAGGACATGAACAGAAACTTTTCAAAAGAAGACAGATTAATGGCTAACAAACATATGAAAAAATGGTTAACATCTCTAATCATCAGGGAAATGCAAATCAAAATCACATGAGATATCACTTATCCCCAGTGAGAATGGCCTTTATCAAAAAGTCCCAAAACAATAAATGTTGCCATGGATGCGGAGAGTTAGGAACACTCATACACTGCTGGTGGGACTGCAAACTAGTACAACCTCAGTGGAAAGCAATATGGAGATACCTCAAAGAGGTACAAGTAGAACTACCATTTGATCCAGCAATCCCATTACTGAGCATCTACCCAAAAGAACAAAATACATTCTATAAAAAAGACATCTGCACTGCAATGTTTATAGCAGCATAATTCACAATTTCAAAGATGTGGAAAGAACCCAAGTGCCCATTAACACATGAGTGGATTAATAAAA